AGTGGAAAAAACTCGTTCCTTCAGCAGAGCTGATCTCCGTCCAAAAGTACGCACAACTTGGCAAAGAGGCGGAGGAATCTCGAACCAGAGTCCAAACTGCACTATCCCCTGGCGAGTCACAAAACCGATGGCCGCCGACAAGATCACTAGTCACTGACTGACTGACTGACAGGCTGACTGACTGACTGACTGTATGATCTCATGAGCGACTGTTCGTACTGCTACAAGACGAGAGAGCACAAGAGAAGAAAGGCAGCGGTGACGCGCCGTGATCACGTGTTCTACAGGCTGTTTACTCGTCGGAAAACTTCCTCGACAAAGAAGAAGGTCGAGAGGAGGATTATTCGAGTCGCTACGTATCAATTGGTTTCACCCTCTCACCTACCCAAAACCCGATTGGTCGCTGCCGGCCTGAGAATGCCTAAAGGTTATCGGATCGCATCTGGACAAAGCGTTGTTACTATTTCTCCCGTGGTGGAATCTTGAACGTTTGCGACTGCCGAGTATGGCCACGTTTCAGCAAGAATCGATGGTCAATACTGAACGAGCACACAATGTTCCATTGTCGCGCCGCTGAAATTACACCAAAGCACGTTTCCACCAGTAAGGGACTGGAGACGTCAGCAAATGAACCTAAGTGTAAGCACTATGATCGTCCACCGTGAAACTTTTATTCCTCATATTATTCCTCAAGACTGCTGGAACTGTCAGCTGATAAACACCTTGCACCCCACCACCCCCGAGGGAGTGAGGCAATAATCAGCAAAAACAGATCTGCTGAACAGCCTCAGGAGGAACGACACCTTCCATCGGTTGTCACCATCGATATCCTGTAGTCTAACTCTGCGACTTGCAATGACAACAACGACGACAACGACGACGAGACATGCACCGAAACTTGACGACAGCGCCTGCTAGCCGCCATCGCCGTCGCCACCGCCACGTTTCGACGACTCAGCCAACGATAGGCACTTGATGACGGTGTCTGCAATTGGAGCAGGGAACAATGCTGCGTACAGAAGTGTACTGCTCCATTGGCAGCGGTACCGCCTCGACCGACTGACCATCACCTCGCTTCTCTGCACCAAAGCACTGTCTCCTGTGTCGAACTCGAACACGGCCCAAAGTGCAACACTTCAACTACTGGCTGCCATCCTCGGTCGGTCGACCGGTCACCACAAATGCCACAAGCCAGGCGA